CACGCACGCACACACGCACACTCGCACATACACATACACACACACACACACACACACACACACACACACACACACACACACACACACACACACACACACACACACACACACACACAGACACACGCGCGTACGCAGACGCAGGTACACACACTCGCCTGCTTCACCACACACACACGCACGCACACACCACATTCCCTTACCAAGTACACCCCGGTTCTACCACCGTGGTGGCATTCCTTGAAAACTGTTGGCGGACAATCTGGCTTGCATTCCAGTACGGCCTCCTCTTCTAAACATCTCGTCCACAGCCGCGATGTGGAGCATCGCTCACCTGATCTCGCTGTGGCCTCCGCCAATTGATCGCAATTGGGCATCTCTTTGTTAAACTGCGCCTCCACGGTCACCTAAAAAATAACGAGCGAGAGCAAACCTTCATTACGATAAGGTTTTATTTTCTGGTTTCGTTATTATATATGACAAAACACTAAACATATAATCAGGAGTGAATAATAATAATAGATTATTTATTATTATGCACTCCTGATATAATGTTTTAATCGAAAAGAAAATGGTCTATGAAAGCTCATTAATAAATCAAAATGTAATTTTAAAAGCTAATACAAACACAGCGCTATTCACACGCGGGATATGGGCTAAGCATCGTATCGTAATATCGAGACTAATTATATACCTTAATTACAGTATCCGCTTATCATTTAGTGTTAGAGCTACGTAACCATCACTTTTGCTATCCTATATCCTCAACCAGGTAATTCTCCCCATGAATGGCATGCTTTATTAAGTTTGAAATTTTCTGTTCCTTCCGACTAGATCTACCCATGTAATGATCTATAGATAGCGGGTGGTTGTACTTACCAGTAGGACTATGGCTGCCGCGAAGGCGTACACATAAAACGCCATTATTTAGTGCGTGCAAGATGCGCAGGTAGTAGATATGCTTGCGGTTGTCGTATACAAAGTTCCAACGCGCACCTCGATAATATAGTACTAGCTCCTGGTGAGCGTTCGCAAGATGGATGCTTATATATCTGCGATCGCCGACCTTGTGTCAGACAGGTTTCCACGATCACCCGGGTCTCGCTTGTGATTTTCGAACGCCGTCAGTTAACGTAAGATAATGATAGCACACAGAGCAGGTGAGAAGTTCGCGCGATTTCTCTGAGAAACATCATGAAATGACACCGAACGACAGTTAAATATTTTACTATGTATTATTGTTTACTCTCGTTAGAGTTTCTAGCAGCAATTCGAAATTTAATGCTAACACACAGAAATGCGATCAATTTAAAGTATGGGTGCTACCGCTACTCTATACGCATGGATGCGCAAATATGTAGATGACTGGATATTCACTTTCAACTCGTCTTTGATAAATTAGTGAGAAGGTCTAATACTAGAAAGGCGTTTTGTTTTTATAGACAATTATTTCGCAAGTAGTTTAATATAAATTCTTAATACACAGAAATCGTACATATTTATTAGGTTTTTCATTGGAATCAAGCAATTTATTTCTCTTGCAATCATAAACATTTAGTACAAATATTGGCATGACTATCATGCATAGGGGGCGGCCCTAAACATAATCTATGTGAATTATAACTCATATGCGTTTTAACTCAAGTATGCTAAAGCAGTTCTATTGGGTGACTAGATCGGACAAATTTCTTTAGGGCTCGACTTCGTGATTCAACTTGGGAATGAGAGAATGCGTTTTTTGAAAGTGACTTCAAGAAATAAACTACATGTAGAATATGATTATACTTGACGGGATAACCTCATTCTATTATTTACTACGCTTAGCTTAGAATTATTATTTAGTTACATTTATTAGGCTTATTCGTTTATTACACATTTATTCAATTTTTCTCCACAAGGCACTTTTCGGGAGACTATATCGACTGCCCAGGTTAAGGACATATAACGGCTGTAGTAATCTATACAGTCTTGTTCATACTGGGGCATGGTGACGGTACTTCCTGTACAATCGTAGCATCGGGTGGACAGTTGCAATTCACTGGATTGCACATCTTCGGTGGTCTGCCCCCGTACGGAATCCTAAAGCCCGGTACCAGGATTTCATTTCCATCATTCAAGATACATTTACAGTTAGCTCTATTGCGCACAGTAACCTGTGGAGAGAAAAAAACGTTAAAGCAGTGTTTGTCGTTCTTAATTTGTTTGCCGTTAATTGAGGTTTCTTGGTCTAAACGCATGCAACTCGTCTTATATACATCATCTCACTATAATGCTTGTGATGTCTGCGCAAGTTGAATATAGATAAATGCTTGACCTGCCCTCAGTGGAAGCAGCGTGAGCCTTATATTATAATCGCAAGCTTATGAACCCACGAAATGGCTGGACCGGAATCGCTTGCGCTTTTGAACGTACGAAAGTAATAAGACGTAATAAATGTAACCCAACAACGAACGCATGCACATTCACACTCACACACACGCGCGCGCGCATACACACACACACACACACACACACACACACACACACACACACACACACACACACACACATATATATATATATATGCCCGCGCATGCCCTTACCAAATAAAACCCGGCTTTACCGCCGTCGTGACATTCCGTAAAAACGTTTGGACATGATGGCGTGCATTCCAGTACTGCTTCCTCTTCTGTGCATCTCGTCCACAGCCGCGACGTGGGGCAACGTTCACCTGATCGGACTGTGGCCTCCGCCAGCGCTTTACAATCTGGGAATTTGGTGTTAACCTGCGCTTCCACAGTCACCTAAAATGCAGCATTAGTTAGGGCAAACCATTATTGCGCTAACATTTACCCCCATTCATTTATATATCAACGAACCTATGAACGTTTTGTCTAAAGTAAATATAATTTATCATACATAAAAGTCAAATATAAATGAAAATAAAAATGTAAAAACCAATGTAAATACAGATCCACATGTAAATACAAATGATATTACTGCAATGACAACCTAAATACGACGACAGTATAATTTAAATAATAATTTCTTATCTGTAAAATTAATTGTGATGGAACAATCATAGGATCGGAATATCAAGACCGATTACCTGACAATATAGATCTGCCATTTCGTATCAAAAACTGCTAGCCACCGCTCTTGCTTTTCCTTTCTAAACTACGCAGATCTCTCTGTAATCTTTTAATCTTTAATGTTTTTAGTTATTTGGACTACATTAACATACATAACGATCTATAGATAACGGGTGGTTGTAGGCTCACCAGTAGAACTATGGCTGCCGCGAAGGCGTACACACAAAACGCCATTATCTAGTAGTTGCACTGCACACAGATCTGGTAATAATTTCACTTGTCATATAGGCTTATATATTCCCAAATGCAGAAGTGTAATAAATTGTTAAATCGCAGCGAACATTAACAAGATGGACGCTTATATATCTGCGATCGCCGACCTTGTATCAGACAGGTTTCCACTATCAGGCAGGTCTCGCTTATGACTCTCGAACGCCGTCAGTTTACGTCAGGTAACGTTAGCACACAAAACATTTGAAAGGGCTCACGATAAAGCAAACTATACTCAAATATTTTACCACGCAATATTATATATTCACACTCATTACAGTTTCTGCCAGTAATCGTGGTATTATGATTATGTTAATTCGGGAATTCACCTTGAAGAATGAGGGAGGGCTAAGCAAAGCTTCGCTCCACGCACGGATGCGCATACATACAGATGTTTTTCCACCATCAAATCGTTCAAGGTCAATTAATGGAAGGTATTTTAGAACGCCGTGTAGTTTTATAAATAAGGCCTATATAGGTATATATA